TCTCCTGACAAAGAAATTCTTCTTGACCTCACAAGATCCATCTTGTCTTGCCAAGAGTCCATCATCCTGGTGAGGAGAATCAAATCTTTATCCTTGATGATGTGCGCAACCAGTTATTAGCCTCCAGTAGCTTCCTCCTCCTTCTGAAGCTTCGAGTGTTAAAACAAAAACAAAAGCCCTGGTGGGAATGACTATATCTTTCGCGTCCCTTGAATCTTCGGGGTGACTGGGGATCACTTCTGGGTGGGTTCTTTGGTGTGTGTACTTGTGCACTTACCGCTGACGGTGGTGGTGAATCCGGAGGTGTGGCGGTGACCTCTGCCCAGATGAGCACACTTCTGCAGAGCCACACCAGCTCTGCCCGGCACCTTGATATCGCCCCTGGGAAGATGTCTTTTTCTTACCGGTGTCCTGCTCCCTTCCTGGTAGTTCTGCAGAAGCCCACAGCTAAGGGAAGCCGTTTCTTCGTAGGCAGAGCTGCGTTCCCACGGAGCTGGGCATCTTCACTTGTTACCTAGCTTGGGGCTTGCCCCGTCTCTTCTTCCTTTTGCACATACCCACGTTCCTCCATCCCACTGGATTTTTTGTTCTTTCTGGCTGTCTTCTCTTGTTGAACTGTCTGCCCCCTTGTGAGCTGCAGCATTCTCAGGTGGCCTCTCCAGGAACAAAATCTTCAGCTGGTTCTGAAGGAGCTGCATTGTTCTTTGGTAGCAGCTTTAAGTTGGCCCAGGCCCCGAGCACCACCAGACAGTGTCCCTTTGTCACCAGGGCCTTGTGCAGACGGGGGGGAGGGGAGGGGGTCAATAAGAGTACCCTCTTTGGGCACATGAAGTACAACATTTCTCTCCAGGTGAAGGTATTAGAAAGGTTTCTGTTCATGCCCGGCCAGTGTGGCTCAGTGGTTGAGCGTTGACCCCACACACCAAGAGGTTGCCGGTTCGATTTCCCATCAGGACACATGCCCAGATTGTGGGTCTGATCCCCAGTGGGGGGCAGGCAAGAGGCAGTAAATCGATGTTCTCTCTCATAGATGTTTCTGTCTCTCTCTCCCTCTCCCTTCCTCTCTTTCTAAAATAAATAAAGAAAAACATTTTTTTAAAAAATGGTTTCTGCTCCGTGGGTGATGACGCTGTGGGCCTAGCTTGAGTGGGAACAGGACATTAGCCCCATTCTTCTAGTGAGCAGGACATAACCACACAGCAGCCTGGAGTGAAACACACCACCTGTATTTCAAAACGAAAAAAGCCCAGAGACGTGTGGCTATTTACTGAACAACTACCCAATTTCTGCTCTTGGGAATACACCTTCCATACCAGTTACTCCTGGTTTGGTTCGTTCTTTCTTTTTTTTTTAATGCACTTGGAGGTATAATTTACACACCATAACATTCACCTCATTGTAAGAATAGAATGATTTTTAACACGTTTACAGCATTGCACAGATACCACTGTGGTCTGTTTGCGGTTCCCCCTACGCCTTCCCCAGCCCCAGGCAGTCCCTGATCTGCTTTCTGTCTCTCTAGCTTTGCCTGTTCTGGAAATCTCATATAAACGGATCATATCTTCCTTTAGCTGCCTCCTTCTCCTAACCTAATGGGGGTTCCAATTTAATTGGGGTTCTTATCTTCCGCTAGTTGCTTGCTTCTGCTAACCTAATAGCGGTTCAAAGCCTGGCCCTTGCCTTTCTCCCCTTCCTGCCCCAGCAGTCAGACACGCTCTACTCCCTGCATCGTCGTTATTGTAACGGCTTCATTGAGGTATAATTGGCATACATTACAAGTCACACTTTAAGGTGTGAGATTCAGGGTGTTCAGTATATTCACAGAATTGTGCAACATCACCACAATCCGTTTTAGAAGCCTTACATCACCCCTGCCCCCAGCCCCCAGAAAGAAATACTTTATTCATTAGGAGACTATCAGATTTCCCCTAAGTCCTAAGGCCTAGGCAAACACAAATGTACTCTCTATTTCTATGGATTGATCTATATTGGCCATTTTAGATAAATTAAGTAGTGCAAGGTGGGGTCTTTAGCGTCTGGTTTCTTTCACTTAACAGTGTTTTCAAGGGCCATCCGTGTGGTAGCATGGGTCGGTATTTCATTCCTGAACAATATTCTGTTGTACGGACACAGCAGAGTGTATTTATCTATTTTTCAGTTGATAAATGTTTGGGTTGTTTCTACTTTTTGGCTCTTATGAATAATGCTGCTATGAACGACTGTGTACAGGTTTTTGTGGGGGCATATGTTTCCGGTTCTCCTGGGGGTTCACTAGGAGTGGAACTGCTGTGTCGCGTGGTAGCTCTTGGTTTCCTCACTGGAGCATCTGGAAGACTCTCCCTTGTCCGGCACCTTCTCCAGCCACCACCCGATTCCTCTGGCCATTTCTGAGCCCAGCTTCTCAAGATCTGACCACATGTCCTCCCTTCACTCTCTCCTCTGCTGTGAACTCTCCTTTTACAAAATCTTTTAACTAGAATACCTGGTATGAAGAGAAGAACGTTAAGGAGAGCATTAATATCTACATAACTTGAAAGCACAGTGATGTCATGAACGTCCTTACATCACCACGCCTCACAAACTGGAACCCAGGACTCAAAGAAGCTACAATCTCTTACTCATTTTGTACTTTTTGTCCTCTCTGGTCATTTCTAACTCATTTTAATTCTACTTTTAAAGAAGGAGTCTGTGCTGAATAGTCTTTAAAACCCATTACATTGCTAAAATTCTCTGCTTACTACAGAGAGATGAATTTTTTTTGTTTAGAATGTATTATAGAAGATTAATAGCTTACATTGTTGAATATTACTGTAATTTATTTTATTATGAACTCTTGGCTAAGAGAGTTACACACAATTATAACATCACTTCTACAGGAAATTTCTTCTATTTTGTATTAGTTGGCTTTAGAGGCTTAGGTTTCTCCCTACATTCAAAAGGCTAGAAGCTGAGGTTCCTGTAATGTTCTCCCCCAACCTCTCTTTGGACTGAGTTCATTTCACCAGCCCTGTTGGCCCCAAGAGAGGTATGGATGTCAATTATTGCTACAAATTAATACTAATGACTCCTTAAATACTTTATTAATATGATACATGACACTTAGGGAGAAGCCATTTATAACCAGCAGAGCCAGGCCTCTGTTCTCCTCCTTACTGCCTGGTGTGGGCGTGTTCCTGCCGTAGGTGGGCTGGGATGAGCCGCTGTGGACTTGAGCAGGCACCGCTCTCACACTCCCTCCAGGCAAGAACAGTTGCATAAGTGATTCGAGGTGGATATTTAAAATATTTGCAATTAAATTTATCAATTTTCCAAAGTACACTGTTATTGAACATTCATTGCATTTTAGAAGTTTGAAATATTTTTTTCTTTTTTTATTGTTGACACTATTACCAATGTCCCTCAGTTGCCCTCCCCCCTCCCCGCTTGCCCCCTCCCCCCATTTGCCCCTATGCCTTCACTGCACTGTTGTCTGTGTCCATGGGCTCTGCATATATGCATATATGTTCGTTGGTTAATCTCTTCCCATCCCCCCCTCCCTGCTGAGATCTGTCAGTCTGTGCTATGTATCCATCTCTGGTCCTATTCTGTTTGTCAGTTTATTTTGTTCATTAGATTCCACATATAAGTGAGATCATGTGATATTTATCTTTCTCTCTATTGTGTACTGATGTCATTAAAACAGTTGGCTCTTAAAAACAGTCATTTTTCTTGGACTCTTCTATTACTGAGGCACTCGAAGAAATGTGGTGAGTTTGGAAGGACTTACAGCTAGCCAGCCGTGGCTGACGGTCCTCCTGTGGAGCTGGCTGGTCTTCCAGGAGCACAGGGCAGGTCTCCTCCACGACAAGCGGGCTCCAAGGCCCAAGTCACCCTGGGCTCTGGCCGCTCTCATCTGTGGCAGGTCCTGTGACCTCTGCACACACACACACCACAGCGTCCTCCTCCAGGCTGAGAATTTCTGGCATTAACATCATGCTTTGCCAGTCGCTGCCGTCACTGAATACACAGCACATGCTCATTTTATCCTAAAAAATTCCTTATTTTTGTGGCTTTAGCTTTTAAAGTTCTAAATTTATTTGATCACATTCTTTGTGCTTTTCCTCCTACCTCAAATTAAAAAGAAACAAGCATGCGTATCTTGTACTTGAGTGTGGGGGGGGAGGGTAAGATTTGTTGATTCCGAAACCATGTCCACGAGGGGATGGACTGTTGTGTGGACCTGTGACATGTCCTGCAGGCATTTGAAACCACTGCCGAGTGAGGATCCAGGTTGCCAGGTAGTCTGGCTCTTCCTTATGCACGTAAGACTTGACTAGGCTCGTTCCAAACCTCATTTACAATCCCCATCACCTTGCAGAACCTTCCTGTAATGTCTCTCTCCTTGTTCAGTGTTCCCAAATTCAGAAATAGCCGGATTCAATTCCCTGAGGTTTCCTTTTATGTTCGTCTTAAGCCTTAACATTCTTGCATTTAGTCAACAGTAAGAAAAGTTATACTAGTGGAGGGATTTTATTAAGATATTAACTACTGCAGACTAAGGATAAAATCAATTCTCTGTGAATGAAAGAATATAGTGAAGGTCCGTATTCACAGCCAAAGTCTTGGTATTTTATTTATCGCTGTCTTCTGCGAAACATGATAGAAATATCTAAGAGTTTATTGACTTAATTGAGTTTTCTCAGATGTAGAAAATGATGATGTTTTAAATTTTTAGATTTTTTGTTTGTTTGCTTTTAGAAGTCTTATGCTTTCAAGTCTTCAAAGTTTTTGTGGGCCCGAAAGGCTTTTCTCCCATTTTATGCTTCCTGTCTTGGTGGGACAGAAGATGCGCTAATTCCATGGTACTTTGTGGTGTCTGCTATTTCATTTCTATGTTACGTTGTTCCCGTTTAAACTGTACAGTCTTCAAGATGCACAGGGAGGTGCCCCCTCGCGGCCCCTGCACGCGGCCTGCAGAGCTGACGTGTGTACCAGTGAGAATGCATGTGCTCCTTTCACAGGTGGGAAGCATTAAGCGGGAAATGACCTTCACCTTTCAACTGGAGGACTTCAAGCGGGACTCGAGTAAAAAAATGTCTCATCAGCCCTTGTTCCCCTTGGCCATGGAGGAGGACGTGAGAATAGCAGACACCAGAACAGCCAACCGGCCCCTCGACCATGACAAAGAGAACACCCGCTCCGTCTGTCTCCTTGAGCAGAAGCGGAAAGTTGTTTCTTCCAACATCGATGTTCCTCCAGCAAGGTAAGGGACCGCCCGGGAGGCTGGTGCACAGTAGAGAGACTTAGGAAGGGTTTTCGCTAAGAGATTTTTTCTGGTGCGCGTGTGAAATGGAGCTTTTCAGAGCCAACTCTGAGGTTGTGGCAGTTGGAACCCCCGTAGCTCGAGAAAAAACAACAACTTGTATTAGATTTTGGCAAATGCATAATAAAGAGAAAAAAGAAATAAAAGAAAATTGAAGACATGTGGATTGAGCATAGTCACTTCACAGCAAGGACACTGGTCTCGGTCAGGGGCTGGCGAGCTACGGCTGCAGGCCGCATTCGGCCCCTGGCCTCTTTTTGTGTGGCCTTCGAGAGAAGAGTGGTTTTACCTTCTTTAAAAGGCTAAAAAAATGAAGACTATGTGATACAGATCATAGGTGGCCTGAAAAGCCTAAAATATTTATATGTGACATATTAGAAAATGTTTGGCGATCCCTGGTTTGTATCACGGTGATCCTTGTAAGACAGCTCCATCTTGGAACTGGGCCTAGAGGGCTTATCTCAACTATCAAAAGGCTTTTGTCATGTTATCATTTTACTTAAGCCGCAGCCAGGTACCTTTGAACCCAAGGACACCATGATGGCAGAATGACAACGGAACTGTAGTAGAATGCACACACGAGACTTTGCTTATTTTCTTGCTTATCATTTATCTCACCTAGATTTGGGGAGCATCCAAAAAGCTGACGTGTCCATCATAGTAAGGTGTCATAAAACCCATTTTACAAATGGGTCAACAGACTCAGAAATGTGAGGTGATCTCCCAGGAGCACACATGTAACAAACGAGAGGCCTAAGACCGGGGTTGGTTTCTGACCCTAAGTGAATTTTTTATCCTTGTTACCCCCATTGGTGTTTACCGAAGAACCTACATTGTTGCCATTTACATACTGGGATGCCTTAAAATGCACGGACATTTCTAATTTCACTTGCTAGCCAGCCTCTCAAAAAAATAAACTCAAAAGTTAGGCAAACCTTATTAGATAACCTAGATGGTGAGAGCATGGTGTTTGTTACTCTCTTTTGCCAGACATTGTTGTGTTTTTTTTGGAAGTACTGATACTTACATTGGTTGGATTGCACCCAAACAGCAATTACAATTTGATTATGCAAAGTAGTAACTGTCTTCTAATTATAACTCCGAGGCTAAAGAACTTATTAGCAAACCAGTGGTAATGGGAATAAAGAAATTTTGGCCCCAAATATTCCTAGACCTAACAGCAGTTTATTAGAATACACCAGATTGTTAGTTTGCTGTTGGAAAAAAAGAAAAAAAATGAACCATATGGTACTAATTGTTTTGCAAGGTTTTAAAATATAGTGATATCATATTTATCACTTGCTGGATAAAATGAAATCATTTTCTTCTTATAGGGCCATTCTGGGAACTGTATAATTTGAAAGAATTTCAGAAACTCCTTACCTTTGCGTTCAAAATTAGAGAATGACATGAGCTACAAGCAATACCCTATATGTACAATGGAAAATTGTGAGCTTAATTGGGCTACCATTTTCATTGGTGTTATCTACATTTTCTCCTTGGCCTCTTATGTATTATACACCATTTACAGGAAAGTATTCCATATCAAATTTGGAATTAAGTGAGAGATAAGGCAAGATGGGTATCGTTATTTCTGAATCTCTGGAAGTCCAGCAGTTCCTGGAGCAGATATTTTATGTTTAAATGCATTAAAAACACTTCAGGTTACAAACTCTGTAACCAATGGGAAGCTACTGAAAAAGGGAGAGTGAAAAGGTCACTTTAAGCTTCTTATTCAACACTGAAAATATATGCACTGGGAGGGGAATATCCATGCACCCACTCATGTTGGAGAAATACTAGCACTGTGTAATTTGTAGACTCCTGTTAAGAACTGAAGCAGTCTCCATGAATCAGCCATCTCGACATCTTTCTTAGGAAACCTCTATCCACTTTTATCTTTTTCCATCATTTTAGTAGTTCAGGTCACCACGTAACTGTTGTTCCTGCTTTCTGGCTACATAGTCTACTTGTTACACAGCAGCAGGTGATCTCTCTCAAGCACAGGAGTAATTGGTGGGCAGACGGATGGAGCCAGGAAGGTGCCGGGAACCAGTGTAATTCTGACCTAATGAAACACATTATTCCATCAGTACACTACCGAGTCCTCTTGCCAGGGGGTTACAGTCTAAAGTTGACAAGTAAGCCAAGATTAGGGACAGACAAACTGATTCTTTACAATGCCTTCAATCATCTGTGAGACCAGAGCCCACCATGAAAGACTTGGGATCAGAAACCAATTTTTAAAAGACAAGTCTTCTGTCCCTTCTTACACTGCGGCAGAGTATCATTGGATGGAATGGAGTGGTGGGATTTCTGTTTATTGTTTTAAAAAATAGCTCGCTCTCTCCCTGGCCAGTTCTGCTCAGTGGTTAGAGTATCAGTCCATGGACCAAAGAGTCACAGGTTTGATTCTGGTCAAGGGCACACGTACCTCGGTTGTGGTTCAGTCCCTGGCCCTCGTCCAGGCCATGCGGGGGGCAACCAATCGTATGTCTCTCTCACATCAATCTTTCTCTCTCTCTCTTTCTCTCCCCCCCTCCTTCTCTCTCTCTCTCTCTTTCTCCTCCTCCCTCCTTCCCTCTTTAAAAAAAATTAAAATAAAATAAAAATAGCTCTCTTTTCTTGCCAAGTGTCTATAATTGAATTTCTATAGTTTAGATGCATATATACTGCAATCCACTTTCCTAATAGTCTACAAACACTTGAAGGAAGTTAGCCAAGCAAGACAGAGGACGGACCTTTCTTTTTTTTTTAATCCTCACCCATGGATATTTTTCCATTTATCTTCAGATAGAGTGGGAGGGAGAGAGAAAAAAATACATCAATGTGAGAGAGACACCACATTGGTTGCCTCCCACATGACCCCAGCCAGGGGCAAAACGCAACAGAGGTACTGAGGTCCATGCCCTTGACCAGATTTGAACCCACGACTCCTTGGTCCAGGGCCCGTCACTCTAACCACTGAGCCAAATTGGCCAGGGCCAGAGAACCTTTCTAAATCAACAGTCCTCTTTCCTGTGCTGACACTGATCCCAGGGACTGACATTGTCTTTTCTTAATTACAACTTAGGAAAGCTTATGTTTTATGACATACATTTGGTTCAGGGTGTGTGTACATGTATCTCTGTGTGTTTTAAAGAAACTTGCCACACTGATTTGTGTTGACTTCATGACACTGAAGATCCATCAACTTTCAATAATTGTGTTTTATATCCTTTTATTATAAGCACACAATAGTGTCAAGTAAGAATGTCACCTGTCCAAAATTGCATTGTGAATTTAGAATCTGAGTCTTTAATATGAATTTTTAAATAACTAATCCTTTATGTCACTTTGATATTTCCGAGGGATATGCTCTCTGGGTAAGTTGGGTAGTTCTGAATTAAAATGCTCGAAGTGTGACATTCCCACATTTGCAGGATTCACCTGCAAAGAGTCCTTGGATAGTTAATAAAGTTTCTTTCACATAAATCCCTTCTTGCAGCAAACTAGAGAAAAATTAACCACTGAAACTTCCAGTGGACCCGTTGCACTAGGGTGCTAGGTGGACCTCATCTTTGTGGCCCAGGCTCCGTAGGTGAAAATGTTCCAGAATGCTGCCGAGAGCTGTTGTTCCTCTTCTGTGGCACCCAAGCCATTGGCTCCCTCTTAGAACTTCTTTACGTTGACATTTGATTCAACATCTGTTTTCCTCTCTACACCTGTTCGGAATGTAAATGATCAGGTACAGAAATCACTGGATTCCACCGACTCCCACTACCCACCTCCCTCTGCCATACGGATCCTGTGTTCTGCTTTTATCACAGAAAGGCAAATAATCATTAAAGGCAAATAAATAATTAAAAGATGATCATTTGTTTATTTCAAAAGAGGAACATTTGAGCAGCACTGTCCAACAAAAATTTAATGTGAGCAACATGTGTCATTTTTAAATTTCTAACAGCTACATTGAAAACAGGAAAAAGAGCACCGGTCGGTGGCTCGGTTGGTTGTCAGTGTGGCTCGGTTGGTTGAGCAGTGTCCTGTGCACTGAGAGGTCACTGGTTCAATTCCCGGTCAGGGCGATTGTGGGCTTGATGGCCAGTATAGTGCTTGCAGGAGGCAACCTGTTGATGTTTGTATCTCTCTCCTTCTCCCTTCCTCTCTCTAAAATCAATAAAAACATATTTAAAAAAAAAAAAAAAAAAAAAAACAGGAAAAGGAAATGGGCGAAAATAATGTAAAACTATATATTATTTAACCTAATATATCCAAATATTATTTCCTATGATCAATATAAAAGGGTACTAGTGAGATATTTTGCAATCTCTTCCGCATACTAGGTCTTTGAAGTTGTCTGTGTATTTTACTGTTACAGATTGTCTCAACTTGAACTGGGCACTTTCCAAGTGATCAATAGCCATGTGTGGCTAGTGACAACTATACTGGGCATGCAGCTTTAGAGTAAAACGTCAGCTAATTATTATGTTTCAGAGCAACTTATCATTTATCCCTGAGACAGTGCGTTTCTTTCTCCTCCCTTCCTCCCTTCCCTTCCCTTCCCTTCCCTTCCTTTCCCTTCCCTTCCCTTCCCTTCCTTTCCTTTCCTTTCTTTCCTTTCTTCCCAAACAGATAGGGGTGAAACAGTAGCTCTTTGTCGCTGTTTCATAGGGGTTAGTTGGGGAGGAGGGAAAGTGCAATCCCTGTAAGGAGGACGTCTCGGTGTCTGGCTCAGGAGATAATTAGTTGGGAAAACACAGTAGAATGATTCCACTATGCCCCCTAAAGAAAGACTCCCAGCTGTGCGTAACTATATTTTGTACAATTATAATTCTTAAGATGTTTAAATACCACCTGAGCCAAAGGCAGGTTAAATGGTACTGTCACAGTTCTGGTTCTTTAACAACATAAAAGCAGCTTTGTTTCCAGAGTGTGAGAGCCTCTCTCTTGGTTACCAG